CTGTAAAATACGCCTTCTTTGAGTATGTAGAGAAATGAAACAGGCAATTCACTTACCAAAAGTGTACTATCGACGTCTTAAGGTTTTGTTTTCATAACATTTAGGGAGGGACACACTCAGAGAACGTAAGTTTTCCCAGAGGCTGTGTAACTCGGTTGGCATTTTTATGTGGATTCTACGTGAACTCGGTGCCACGGCGTGTCTAAGATGCTCCCTGACTCCGGTCCCCTGTGCTCCTGGCCTCCTATTGGTCACGCTGCCTCCTGCCCGCGCTGAGCTGGCTTCCTGAGCTAAGCCTGTGACCGCGAGGAACCACGCAGCTCGTGTGTTTCTGTCAGTGACTGTGGCTGGTACAAGCCAGGCAAACAGCTATTCTAAGTGTTTGTAACCACCCAGAAAGCCGGGAGAAACATGGCTGTAGTGTCGAGTGTCCAAGTTTATAAAACCTCCTTTCACTGAACTTCCTAAGTCGTGTGTGTGTGTGTGTGTGTGTGTGTGTGTGTGTGTGTGTGTGTGAGTGATATTGGTTAGGCAGTAAAAATCAGGGACAACCAAAAGGTGGCCTAATTGGCAAAATGCTCGTGGACCCATAGGTCCAACTGAACACTGAGCGAGTCCCCGAGCTCACACCTGCCCCGTGCCCTCTGTGTGGAGGCCGACTTTCCCGCGGCCTGCGGCTTCCCCAGGCCATCGAGGGCCTAGCCCAGGCATTGGCTCCTGGCTTTTCTTCTGATTCCCCTGCCCCGAGCCGATGCCCCAGCACACAGGGAAAGAAGCACCATCTCTCATGCCTCCCAGACGGGCCCAGCCACCCCGTCTCCCTTCGTCCAGAACACCCACTCCCCCAGAAACGGGCCATCTTGGCTTGAGGTCCCTTCCCTTTTGCCTGCTGAGCTCCTGGGGCTCTGGGTAAACATCAGCTCATTGCCAACCCTTTCTGGGATCTCCTAGACCAGGATGGGGGCCAGGGGGAGCTCTGGTCCATGGGCCGTATAAGGCCCGTGACATCATCTGGCCTGGCCCTGCCAGAGTTCATTAAATGTTTGAGCAAATAAATTTATGGTGTTGCATGGCCCAAGGATGGTGCTATAAATATCCAAACAGCCCTTGGCGAGGAAGGATCCCCACCCCTGCCTCTTCAGCCAGCTGGCTTCCCCGCTGGGTTCCCATGCCTGTGCTGGAGCGCCCTGTGGCGGCTGCCTCCCGCCCCACGGAGCCTGGCCACCTCGGGCTGGTGTGCTTCCAGGCCCTGGTGTGGGATCTTGCTCATGGTCACAGGGGAACGATACGTGAGCCAGGAAAGAGTTGTTGTAGCTCCTTGTGTCTGGGGCTAGGCCAGTGCTGGGGGAAAAGCATTCGGACCCCATTCCCGGAGCCCGACTTCCCTGCCACATGCACTTTCTCTCCAAACAGCATGGCCGTCCCCTGTGGGTAGCGCTGGCGGTGATGGTATGGTAAGGTGACCAAATGTCCTGCTTTTGACGGGACAATCCCGATTTTTAACAATTTGTTCCGAGGCGTTTTAAAAAAGTCCAAAAAACTGAAAATCGGGACTTTTTAAAAACGCCACAGGACGCGGGACAAATTGTTAAAAATCGGGACATCTGGTCACCTTATGGTAGGGGGATGTGTCAGGCCTGCGCCCGTAGGTGGTTCTGAGCTGTAGGAATTCCCGGAAGGGAAGGCTTCCCCTCCGCCAGCAGTTCAGCCAGAAGGACGTAGCTGTGTAGCCACTGCAGGAAGAAGGGATGTCCGAGGCGGGTGACAGACACGTGTGTTACATGGTGGCTCCAGTTGTGAATCCTGCCGGAGGGTAGAAACTGGCTGGAGGGATTTGGTCACAGAGCAGAGACGGTGCCCGAGCCTCCCGCCTCAGGCGTTGCTGAATCAAAACGAAGACGTTATTTTGATCATTTAAATGTGTGGATTCAGGTGCTGCTGCTGCTGCTGCTGATGATGAAAGCGTGTTTTTGAGATATTTCCTCTTCACACGTCCGGGGTCTCTGACATGTGTTCTGGGGAACTTCTGAAAGTGTCAGACGATGTTGGGAACAGTACACGCCAAAGGGTTGCTTTTTAAGTTTAGTCCTCTGGTCTGTCTCCTCCTAATCTGTGTGCCTTTCCTTTTTAATTAACAAGGAAAACTCTCCTGAGCATGGTCTACCATGCCTCCTTAGTTTTAAAGGAATGTACTGTTCCCTGTCTAGGAGCAGGGGGGTCTCGTATCCGATTTGGCCTCCATGGAACAGCAGCCCTGGTGTCTAATTATCACGAAGCGACACCTGACCAGGCCCTTACCATGTGCCGCTTGCGCAGCCAGGAGGTGCTGGGGCCCTTCGGGGTGCCGCTCACGTCTGCTCTGACCCGGGGGGTGTGGTGGGGGGGTGCACTCGCCGCTGGGTTTCCCGTGTGTTTTGTTTTTGCTCTATCTCCTAGATGGCTTGTTGTTCACTAAGAATCTTTGACAATAAATGTTAAAAAGGCTCCCTTCTACGCCTTGGCAGGTCCTGTGGTCTCTGGAACTGGGTCACTGGATTTCTGAGGAGCCCTTCGAACTCTCCGACTCCTTTCCCGCTGCTCCGGTGAGTCAGGCCTCGCTCTGCGGTGGGGACTTCAACTACAGTTTCTTGAGAAATTGTTACTAGCAAAGCTGTGCACTCTGATGTTCATTAAATCAAGAGCGGTTATGCCCATAACTAGAAAGACATCCAGAGACTATTTGTGAGAAATGCATTCTCAAAAAGCCTTAACTATGAAGCCCTCCAGACAGAAAGACAAAATTGAGAAGGCCGTTCTTGAGAAGGGCCTGTGTACGCACTCACAGCTGTGCGCAATGCTGCTGCCGCCGCCCGCGAGACGGACCTGGGAGCCGTAAAGCGTGGCCTGCCGGCAGGACGGGCGGGCTTTGTCTCCGTGTTTCCTAACTCGGCTCCGCCTGCCTGAGTTCCCAGGTGTCCGATGCCAACGGGAGCGCTCCGGGCCTGGCGTCCGAGGGCGGCGCCTGATCTCCCAGGTGGTCCCAGGTGATGGGGCGGCAGCACCGCGCTGGGTCGGCTGGTGTGTGCCGTGTGTTCATTCACACGGGTATCACCTGGAAGACGGACGCGGCTGTATCGGCGGCAGCCGAGGTGCGTTTTGGCCACTCCAGTGTTCTGGGGGATTGTCCGTGACAGAGGTTGACGGCTGCCCTGAATCGCTGGGCTCTCCAGCTTGTGGGTGGTTCTCTCTTCATTTTTGAGATGACTGCTTTGATTTCCTGTCAGCTTCATAGACGTTTTCTTACGGAGAGAACACGTCCTCTCGGCGAGGCTTTGGCATCATGTAAGGAGTGAAGCGTAGTTACAGCATGAGGTCAAGGTCCCGCTCTCTCATGAGGGACGGGCCGCCCAAGGACACGGGGCGGTCGCCTTGGAAATGCGTCGGGCTGCTGCTCTGTGTGGGCGAGCGGTGTGGATGGTGCTGTTGCCCACCTCCCCATGTCGGCTCCCCTCACACTGTCATTGCTCCCCTCCCCCTTCCCCCCCGGAGATCTGGAAACATGCTCCCTCCCAGCCGGGAGTCTCATCAGATGCCCCCCTCCGCACAGCGGACGGCTCTGATGGTTATGGCCTCACGTTGATAAGAGGAGACACGGAGCGAGGAGAGCACTGACCCGGCAGTCTGTGTATGAGCTGTGGGGCCACATAAGTTAGGGGAGAGTGTGGACTAAGGACACGGCTGTGGCAGGACCCGGCTGTGGTGGGATTAGGGACACGGCTGAGGCGGGACTAAGGGACCCGGTTGTGGTGGGATTAGGGACACGGCTGAGGCGGGACTAAGGGACCTGGCTGTGGTGGGATTAGGGACCCGGCTGTGGCGGGACTAGGGACACAGCTATGGTGGGAAGGAAGATAGTAAAGTTGCTGGTTGTCCATCTGGCTGAGCTGCCTGGCAACTGGGCGGAAAGCAAATGCCTGAGGGCCTCCAACTCAGAGCCGCCTGCCCACCTGCCCGCTCGCCGAGGGACAGCCACCAAGTTAGCCCCAGGTCAGGGTCGGGGTTGGGGTCGGGGTCGGCCTGGGTGAGAGTCTGCTCACGACTTCAAGGGGAACACCAGATATCGGTTTTGTGCGTCAACACCCATTTCAAAGCTGTGTGGTGGTGGACACTTACAAATAAATAGCGTGCTGATACAAGTTACCTTTCCTGAGATAACTTAAGGAGGGAGTTCAGCTTCGTGCACGTCCCACGTTAGGCTCCCCCTCCTCGGCCTGCCCGCCCGGAGGGAAGAGCCCGCGGGATTGGGGTGGCGGGTCGGTCCGGGGAACAGACCAGGCACTCTCCACGGTCAGGATCCACGGCCGTTGTTTTGGAATCAAATTGCAGAATTGTAAACATTATCATAAAAGTTCACCTCATAAGTTATATTTATCATAGTTAACAGTCAGGCAGCAAAAATAAGTGTACAATCTTTACATGAAATAAAAGAATACATCCTGGGAGTTTCTCTTTATAAACTTGACATCTTTTTGAGCATTAGCTTAGAACTCAGCTGGCAACGCCTGTGCAGACATGCAGTTTCCAGATGAAAATTAAAGCACCCAAGAGAGGGCAGAAGGCACTCTGACCCTCGCAGGGACCTGAGTCTGTGCCGGGCGTGAGGCTGCCGTCAGCCCGGCAGGCGAGCGGGGTGCAGCGTCAGCCCAGTAGGCTAGCGGGGTGCAGCCAGACGACCCGGGAGCCCGGAGCTGTTTCCAGTTATTCACTGATGCTCTCGGCGTGCAGGAGCCTGCGAGCCATCATCCGTTTGCAGCATAAGCTCGTCTCTGCACAGACGCCCTACAGTCACGAGGTGGAGGTCGGGCTGTGCTGGGGTTGCCGAGCAGGACAGGTGTCAGTGGGGAATTTGGGGGCTCTGACTCGGGCCCCGGGTGCTTCCCTCGGGGCGGAGGGACAGCGCCGCCGTGTCCCCCGGCCTTCTGGTGAGGATGCCGCAGCCCCGGCCCGCCGCGGGCCCAGTCTCAGAAGTCCGCGGGCCGGATCATCATGGCTGTGGCCTTGAGCGAGTAGCCCGAGCCCTTCCAGTAGTACCACTTGATGCCGTTGAACCTGTTGGTGCTCTGCCTCTGGGGGTAGTACATTCCGTTGAGGTTGGAGGGGCCACACGCGTCGAACCACCAGCCTGTGAAGTGCAGCAGAGGGTCAGGGCGGGTCCCCTCCCAGGAGCAGCCACCCGCCGGCCCACGTGCACATTCCCTGCATTTTAGGTGTCCGTGTCCTGAGTGCCCTGGGCGGGGCCGCAGAGGGAGGGTCCCGTGCACTGGGGGCGGGGCTCGGACAGGCTACTCCCCTTTGCTGTGGTGCTGCGTGGGGGGGCCACGGCCACGCGTGGGGAGACCATGGCCACTTGCAGGAGGCAGAACGGGGACACTGAACGGGGACACTGAGGCCTCGGGGTGGCTCTCAGTAGCCACACCCTTTCCAGTCCCCCAGCTCAGTGACCTGGGCTGATCCAGGCTCTCCCCACCCCGAGAAATTCTTTCTGTTTAAAATATAACCCCAAGTTTTAAGTGTCCAGTAGAGCTAGATAAAAAGAAAAAACTTAAAGCCACACAGTGCTCACTGAGGTGAAGCCGGGTGAATGTGGGATACAGCGGGGGCTGGGCCCCATCTGCACCCAGGGGCTGGGCCTGCTCTCCCCCACCCAGCTCAGGGTACTAGGCCTGCAGGGAGGCGTAAAAGGACAGAGTGGTGCCACTCATATGAGACTTTAAGACACAGAAGACGGGAGCAGGACTGTCGCCATTTCTATGCAGTGAGACAGATAATGTGGTGAACCTGAGTGCAGTGGTCAGCTCAGGAGCGGGTTGGTGGAGCGGCTGTGTTTGTGTCTAGATGTTCTGTTTCTCTGAAAAGCACTCTGGTGCAGTATTTACGTTACATTCTGCAATGTGGCCCCTGGACTGAGGCACCTGCCCATCACCAGGTGCCCAGGCTCTCTCCTGGGCTAAGCAGCTCCAGCGACAAAGCGGAAGCAAGCCTCTCCCCCGCGGGCAGGTCTTCTGTGGTGTAGACGTGGTCACCACTCACAGCTGATCCACGGCTAGCCCACACACACACACACACACACACTCAAACACACCGGCCCTGGCCCCCACAGACAGGCAGGCACCTACCTCCTGTGAGCATCTGTGCGCACTTGCAGATGCACCGGTCCCTGTCCACGTCCTTGGTGCTGAAGTCGCTCCCCGGCTGGCTGATGCTGCTGATCTTGCCGGCCGACCCCGTGAGGCCCTTGAGGTGGATCCTGGGGACGCGGAGTGGAGAGGGGGATGAGCGGGGTGTGCCCCGTGGAACACTCCCCACAAAGAAGCCCTCTGCCGAAGGGCGCTGGCCCGCAAGTGCCCCCAGCAGCCTGGACCGAGCATCCTCGTGTGGGAATAAACAGGAACCCGCTTATCATCAGTCCTGAGGCGGAGCACGTGTTTTGGTGAAACCGCTCGGATATCACTTGCACAGGCTTCCATGGGACTTGGGGCCCTTCCACTCGTTTTCCTGCCGCTCTGAGGTAAACAGGAAGGGGACTGCGCATAGGAGGGGAGGGGGGAAGGGAGGTTGAGGGCAGGGCCCTGTCCAGGTCTGCAGGCTTCACCCGGACAGGAACACGCGTGTTGTGACGGCCGTCCTCCGCACCCTTGTTGTTGGTGGGAGAGAGCTGGGAGGCCCGCAGGAACAGGGAAGGGCCTTGGGTCTGGAGCAGAGCCTATGGCTGTCCCAGTGCCTGTGCTGGGAGGGGAATGGGACTGGGATGGGGAGGGAAACCCCTTCGGGGAGCCACAGGCGGCAGGCTGGACGGCGGCCAAGAGCAGGGTCCACGTGCTGGGTGGGTGTGGAGCCTGGGCATCGGGTCTGCCCGTCCTGGGATCCACAGCACAGGCCCTGCAAAGTCAGGAGGACCGCATGCCACCCCAGGGGATGGCGTCCCTGACGCTCGCTCGTTTGCCAGCCACAGCCTGGGAAATCTCGATTCCAAGAACCACGTTGGCACGCGGATGGAGAAGGGAGGGGTCACAGGCCCTTCCACGGAGCATCCATGCCCGCACAGCACACCCCATGTGAGGTGGTCGCGGTTCTGGGTGGAACTCTTTCATGGAGCAGGGTGGGCCCGACTCCTCCTTCAGGGTCCCAGGCTCACATTTCTTGCGGGTAGGGGGGGAAAGGGGGGCTATCCCCACGGAGGAGGAGGCCATGGAGACCGGGTGGGAGCCTGTCCCAGGGGTTCAGGAAGCGCTGGTCCCAGGGAATGTGCGTGCGAGTGACTTCGGTTTCAGTGTTTCTAGATATGGCAGCTCCGGACACACGATCATAGGCATTGACTCGACTTCAGAATTTCAGTGTTACCCTTGTTTCCAAGATGTCCACAGGGTCCAGCCACGTGGTCCCCACATGATCCCTGGCACACCTGCCCCACGGCCCCTGCGTGGCCCCCGCATGGTCCCCCTCATGCCTGCTGCATGGGCCGTGCATGGCCCTGCATGGTCCCGGCACGGCCAGCACGCCTGCCACAAAGGCTCGTGCAGGTCCTGCTCCATCTCTGGTCTCAGGTCCTGGGGTCCTCACAGGCCCTCCTTTTGGCTTCCGAAGCCTGAGGCCAGCTGCCCCCCCCCCCCCCCCCCGCCAGCCCCGCCCTGCCTGCCTGAGCAGCTCAGCTCGGGGCTCAGGGCACCGCCCCAAAGGCCAGCAAGCAGGAGGGCTCTGCTCTCGCCCTCTGGGAGGCTCAGGTGTGGCCACTGGTGGGAAGTCGCGTTCTCCTCACGTTGGGGATTCGAGGGGCCGCCTTCTTGGTCTCCGCTGCTCGGCTGTCTGTCCCTTTCACAGAGCAGAGGGGTGGGGCGGAGCGAGCACGCCACGTCACACTGAATCTCAGTCCACGGGGCTGCTCACTGCGTGACCGGTGACCAGTTACAGTTTAATGTGCAAATAGTTCTAGTTTTAGTGAAGAGAATTATATTTTACTGATGTACTTTTCAGTTTTCTGCCACATGAGGACCATACATCGCAGCTGCTATAGATGGTGACGACCTGAGCCCTCTGAGGTGATGCTGATGGGACGTGGGCATGCTTTGTTAGGGGAGTCGTGCTTTCAGGGTGGCATCAGTCTTACACTGTCAAGCACATTACACTGAGCTTTAACCAAACGGGTGCTTTACAAAACGGCATAGCCAAAGGTTGACTTCCATTTCTAAACTAACCAACTCAGGTTAAAGTATTTTTATAATGTCAGCAACCGAGGGTAATGACCCGTTTTATAAAATCTTATATAAATAGTCTAATCCTTAATTTCTGTGCTTTTTTAAAATTCCTCTGTTGTAGATTCCAAGCCGTTGCCAGTTGACAAAATATTTAGCTTGGAGGTAAAACAGTGACCAGCCACTGGTGTCTGACATTCCTCGGGCTTCGATCTTTGGAGCGTCCTTGGTGTAGAGAGGCCTCACCGGTCTCACCGCCGCCCGCTGAGGGGCGGCCTCTCGGAGCCGTTCTCCCTGTGCCTCCGTGGACTGTCCCCGACTCCCACCGCGCGGTCAGCGCTGACCGGATGTCAGGCGTACCCTTCTGCAGGGCCCTTTACAAAGCAGCCGGCCGGGGGTGGGGTGCAGCGCTGGGAGCTGCACAGCCCCGCATGGTCCCCTCATGCCCAGGCTGCTGACCGTCCCGCCCCGGGAGCCAGCTGGAGACTGAGACTGTACTGTGGGCAGAGATGCGAGCGGGTTTGCATGGGGCTGCACCAGGCAGTAACAGTTCGTGAGGTCCCCTGCACGTGGTTTATCTCCGACCTCAGGGTGGGCGGTGCACATGGGCTATGCAGTTGGTACTTGCCCCCCCCCCACCCCGTCTGCCTGCCAGGCCCTCAGGGCGTGGGTGTGGCTGAGGTCTGTGGGACCCTCAGACCAGCTCCTGGGGCACCCCTGCACTGTCCCCTCTCTCTGTGCTCATCACGGGCACATGCATTCTGAGTTCTTAGGAACCACACGCCCATAAGTGCCTCCTCTGTGCGAGCCTCACCCACACAGTCTTACCGCATGGCCTCACCCACCCACCCAACCTCATCCACCCACACGGCCTCACCCACCCACTCAGCCTCACCCATCCACTCGGCCTCCACTCGCATGGCCTCACCCACCTACATGGCCTCACCCACCCCCATGGCCTCACCCACCAGCACGGCCTCTCCCACCCTCACAGCCTCACCCACCCTCACAGTCTCTCCCACCCGCACAGCCTCACCCACCCCCACGGCCTCACCCACCCACACAGCCTCACCCACAGAGCTTCAGGCATCCCACAACCTCAGGGTCTCAGCTCTCAGAGCCTCTGCTGCCCTGCCTGTTCTCACCACTGTTAGAGCTAGAGAGAATTCTGGCCAGGGTTTCCCCATGTTCTCCAAGGGTTCATAAATAGCGCCACCAGCTGGCGTACAAGGTAATGGTAGGAGCAAGGGAGCCACAGCAGAGCACTGCAGGGTGACTGTCCACCGTCCCCCCAATTCTGCTGCTTTTGCACTTGGCAGTCATCCTGACTTTGGGCTGAATCTTACGACTGGTTGTGTGCTAACTGCAGAAGGCAGAGTGACTCTTGGAGCTTTGCGGTAAACAATGCAGCAGCCCAAGGTGTGTGTCTGTAGGATGCCGTCCGCACACTTCTCTGCAGGCCCACACTCCATGCCCACGGACGGGGTCAGTGCCCGGCTCCTTGCAGACAGGGAGCAGGCCCCGGGCAAACACTGTCCTTACAGGGCCCTCTGTCGTGAAAGCCAGTCCCACTCAGAACTGGGAAGCTCCCCTAACGGGGCGAGGGCCTCTGGGAAGACAGTTTCTCAGGGTGGTCTGGCCCCAGCTACCACAGTGTCCTCACCCTTGGGACCGTCGCCACAGCCCTCACCTGTAGTTGAGGTCCTCGCCCGAGAGGGAGAAGTGCTCGTACAGGGCCTGGGCCTCGTTGCCCTCCCAGTCGGCCAGGCGGATCCTCAGCACGTAGCGCTTCTGGGTGGTCACCTGGGAGACAAACTCGTTCCCCAGCCAGTGCTCGCCCGCTGGGTTCCCGAAGCCCTACAACCGAACGGAAAGTCAGTCCCCGTGGGCTTCCCAAGGCTCCCCGTGAGGGCTTTCCCAAGGGCTTCCCATGTGGGCTCCCCAGTGGGCTTTCCGTGGTGGCTTCCTGTGGGCTTTCCCGTGGACTTCCCCATGGGCTTTCCTGGGGGCTTCCCCGTGGGCTTCCTAGGGGCTCCCCATGGGCTTCCCGAGGGCTTCCCTGTGGGCTTTCCGTGTAGGCTTTCCCGTGGGCTTCCTGGGGGCTTCCTAGGGGCTCCTCTGTAGGCTTTCCCGTGGGCTTCCTGGGGGCTTCCCTGTGAGCTCCCCGTGGGCTTTCCGTGTGGGCTTTCCGTGGGCTTCCTTGTGGACTTCCCCGTGGGCTTCCTGGGGGCTCCCGTGGGCTTTCCCGAGGGCTTCTGTATGGGCTTCCCAGGGGCTTCCCCGTGAGTTCCCCGTGGGCTTCCCGTGTGGGTTCCCCATGGGCTCCCCGTGTCTGAGATGAGTGGCCCCTCTTCCTCCCTCCCATGCAGCGAGCTCAGATGTCTGTGCTGGGAGCTGGGTCCTCCAGAGAAGAATGTGGGCCGGGTGAGGCCAGTTTTAAGAAGCTAAGCTACTGGGGGTATGGGGAAGGATCGTGCTGGGGTAGCAGCTGGGAGTGTGGGCTTGCCAGCCAAGAGCTGCCCTGGCGTGAACCCCCTGCTCACGTGCTGTCTCACTGCGTGACCCACGCTATACTGACAGGGCTGGTCTTTAATAAGGGGGTGGGGGGGCACACACCAGGTAACAGAACCCTTTGGTTAGAAAGCTGTCCTGAGTCCTTGGTTAGCTTGGGTTTGTGGTGAAAGCTCTCATTTCAGATGGCTCAGGGCTGTTCATACCGCTTTATACTCTTTCCAAGTCCGCTGGAAGTCCACGCTGCCGTCCTCTCGCCGCTGGATGAGGGTCCACCCCCCTCCGGCAGACTCCATGTCGCAGTAGGCCTGCAACGGGAAGGGCACGTGACGGGTGTGTGGGTTGTGACTGGGTCTCCTGCTGAATGTGCGGAGCGAGACGCGTGTAGATGCCCAGCAGCATGTGCTGGGGGTCTCTGCGGGAATCCCGTGGTTTTGAGTGAATTGAAAGCCATGACTTACAGGATGGAAGTCGCAGCGATACAGTGCAGGCTGGTGAAGGACGAAGGGTGCCTGACTGTTAGGCTGGGACCCCTGTAGCTGACACGGATTGCCCTTCCTCAGAGTCGCTGTGAGGGATTGCCCGCCCTCCGTCTCCACCCTGGCAGACAAGCGTGGACCCCGTCTACGTCCCTGCACCTCTGCCGGAGAGATGGAGGGGGTCCCGTGCTGTTAGGGCTCCCGGGAGTCCTGTGAGGTGGCGTGTCCTGGGGCCATCCCGCTTCCCCCTGTGGGGACAAGTCAAAACTGGCAGCCGTCACTCAGCACCAGGGGCCTGAGGGGCCACGTGCTTGGTGTGACCCAAGCGTGGCCTGGCTGCTTGCCTCCGACTCGCACCAGGCTCTGCCCTTTGCTCACTGCCATGGCACCCTTTCCCCCCACCCCCAGTGTCTCTCAGCTCTGCTGCCATGCCGGTTCGGGGGTTTAAACTTTGTCAGAGTGGAATTCTTTCTGGGATGAGAGCATGCATGCTCCGTTTCAGCTCAGCTGAAGGTTTTTCATGAAATTAAACCCCCTGAGAATAAGATCACGTAGTAGCTATAAGAAACAAGATTATGGTGGAAGGAAATGTTTCCCAGAAAGCGAAGAGAAACGCCCTGCAGTGTAGCAGGTGGTAAATGTGGAAGCTGAGGTTCAGAACCATGAGCAATAGTCCTGCTTTGATGTTCTCCGCGGTCCTTTCGGTGATGATGCGAACATGTTGCCAGGTGGGTGTAAGCAGGTGCTCCGTGCACTAATCCAGGGAGCTGGGCCCCCTTCCACGCTCTGCTACCAGCCTTCCCCTCTCCCAACCTCTCCCTTTGGAAGCGTGTCCACTGAGAAGGAACATGCAGCCTCGCCATGTAGGTCAGTGGGTAGTGTGGTCCACGGACAGAAGGGTTGTGGGTTTGATTCTGGTCAAGGGCACACACCTCTGTTGCAAGCTCATCCTGGCCCTCAGTCAGGACATGTGCAGGAGGCAACCAATCAATGTGTCTCTCACATTAATGTTTCTATCTCTTCCCTCCCTGCCTCTCTCTCTAAAAAAAGTCAATGGGGAAAATATCCTTGAGTGAGGATTAACAAGTAAAGAAAATTCCACTTATGCATATGCATATGCATACACACACACACACACACACACACACACACACACACACACACGCCTACTATGCAAATTGTCCCCGAGGGAGTTCCACTGGGAAACAGGGAATGTGATTGCTTGCTATTACATGTGCTGACCAACAGGGGGAGGCACAGAACAAAGGAAGCCCTGGCTGGCAGCTGGAAGGCCCCAGTTGGCCCTGATCCCCAGCCAGGCTAGGGATCCTACCCGTGCACGAATTTCATGCACCAGGCCTCCAGATAAGAGTAAAATGATTTTCCATTTCAGTTCATTGGACATTAGACTTGATCTGCCTGCGGGAACCCTCACCCTGGGCTGGCAGCAACCTTGTTAGTCGTGGTTGCCACTGTGCCTACCCATGGGGAGCTCCGAGGGGCCTTGCTCGTTTATCCAACCCGACAGGGACTCTGAGTCTGTGCTGCCTCTGGAGCGGAGGAGGTGTAGTCGGGTTTGGCTAATGCAGCCGGCCGTCGTCCAGCTGGGAAGTGGGACACAGGCTGTCACGGAGTACTGTCCACCTCACTGGGCCCAGAAACGGACTGACCCGAGGCCCCGCAGCAGGTCCGTGTCGACCGGGGTCCACACACCGTCCTCTCCCGTTTGCTGTGGGCCACGGCGGCCCGGCCGCTCACATCCATCGTGTGTCACGTAAAACCCACCTGGTGAACTAGCTCCACACGCTGCCTCGGGCTGCGAGGCATGTGCGTGCAGACGTGAACCCTCGACCCGGACGCGCGTCCGGGCAGGCTGGTCAGTCCTCGGGGTGCCTGCCTTGTTCCAGGGACGTGGGGACCTGTGATGTCCAACCTCCGCTCTGAAGTTACTGATGTCAGAGTTGAGCCTCAGGGACGGGGCGGATCCCTGCTTGTGTGTGAGCAGTGCAGCCCCTGTCCTCTGATGCCGGGACTTTGTCCAGCTTTAAAGAAGAGAGCTCGTGGAAGGCAGAGTGTTGTGACTGATTCAGTCGTGAGACTTTCAGAGCCGTCCACACTGCCCGTGGCCCTGGGGAATGTGGAGCAGGTCACAGCAGGGAGGGAGCAGGCCCCGCCAGGGCCCTCGCACAGTAGGCGCCCGCCGCAGGGCTCAGGGTGAGCCGGCTCTGAAGCGGGAGGTCCGCAAGTGCTCGAGGTTGTGGTCGGCCTGAGGTCACGGTGAGGAACCACTGAGCAGCTCACACAGCACACAGCCTTCCCGTGACATGGGGAGGAAAGTGTTCCGTCTCGAACTAGCAGACACAGCGCTTTCCATGCACCACCCTGCAGTGTCTGCACCGAGACCACTGGCGTATTCAGAAATGACATTGAAATATTTAGGCCCTTTTGGAAAAGATCTTCCCAAATCTCAATGTCCATTGCTTGGAGTGGCCGATACGGGACGGAATGGGGCACCCGCCATGCAGGAAGCTGGCTTCCTGGGGCTGAGGGCACTCCTGGGTAACAACTCCCATGTGTGGGATGGGCGGTGAGCACCAGCCCAGCCTCGGGGGATGTGACCTTACAGAAGAGGAACCCCTGAAGTGACCGACTCAGACACACAGTTGGCAGAGCTGGAATGTAAGCCCACATCCATGCCTCAGTCTCCGGCTGGAAGGGAATCTAAAGCACTCATCTGGACCATTTTAGAGAAAAGGAACTTGAGAAAGATGGCTGTTCCTTGCCATGAGTTTCTGCTAACATTTGAAAGGGACGCCAATCCTAATGTTTCCAGTGTGAGCGGAGACTCGTCACCCCCAGCCCCACATGCCTCCCTCCTGTGGGGCGTCTCGTTCTCATTGGCAGCAGAGTACCTCAGGCTTTTCCCCTGATGCACTGCTTCTAGGGCACCCGGGACAGTAGCTGATTCCAAGGCTGATTGAAAGCGGAGTGCACGCCTTCTCACGTCTGTGTGCTGAGGCAGGTGTGTGTGTGTGTGTGTGTGTGTGTGCTGAGGCAGGTGTGTGTGTGTGTGTGTGTGCTGAGGCAGGTGTGTGTGTGTGTGTGTGCTGAGGCAGGTGTGTGTGTGTGTGTGTGTGTGTGCTGAGGCAGGTGTGTGCTGAGACAGTGTCTGCTCACCTGCACACCAGGCTGAGTTTGTCCCAGAAGGACAGCCCTGGGGGAGGGAGAAGGCGTGGCCCCGGAGCCTTTGGGGTGCCCCATTGTTACTTGAACTCCCCATTAAAAGGGACAATGGCTGCTTATTGGGAGATATTTTTTTTAAACTTAAGGGAAGGGTCTCACACTTCAAGGAAGACAACTGACAAGACAAGCCCGGGGCCGCGAGAGGGGAGTGTGAGTGAGCAGAGCTGGTGCTGAGGGGGCGTGCAGCTGGGGGTCAGCCATGTGTGTGCTGAGGGGGCGTGCAGCTGGGGGTCAGCCTGCTCGGCATGGACCTGGAGCCCGCAGGACGGGCAGAGTGCCCTGCCCGCAGCCGGGGACCGGGGAGCCCTCACCTTTGTCTCCTCCGTGGAGTTGGGGAACGTCAGCGTGTAGACGCCGCTGGTGGTCAGGCCGGACTTGAAGGCCTCCGCGCAGTCTCGGAAAGCTACTTGCACCTCCTTCGTGGCTGGGGCCGGCCGGGCTGCTTCCAGAGATAAAGAGCGGTTATTTTAGGGGGGCTCCTGGGCAGGTGGCGTGTAGGGCTCGGGAGGCGCTCATTGGAGGTCATTGCAGCTGACTTCTCAGTGAGGAGAAAGGATGTACTGGTTTCCTGCCCTTTCCCAGACCTGCCTCTCGGCCTGTGTGCTCCTGATTCTCAGCGACCGTTATCTGTGGTCAGCTCCCGCTTCCTCATCAGCTTCACCATCGGCTGTGACAAACTATCACATTTAAAGTTCTTCCATCCCACATGGAGCCCGTTGAGTTATGACAGGAGAATAAACGAACATCCCCCAAAGTAATGGCACCTGCCAGGGCTGCACGCACCCCGGCCCTCACCCATCGAGACTGCTGGGAAGACATTTAGTGACTCTGGGGGTTAGCAGTTGTCCCAGAGAGTTTGCATTAAAGGGGAACCTAATGCTCGTTTATCTGTGTCTTTTAAATTCTCTATCTAGGTATAAAAATTCTAAGACTATGAAATTCTTCCAAGTTTAAATATTCAGACTTCCCATCCCTTTCTGCCACATTTAAAAAAACGTGTGTGTTCGTGTGTGTGTGTGTGTGTCCATGTGCGTGTCTCTGTGTATGTGTGTCTGTGCGTGCGTGTGTGTGTGTGTGTGTGTGTGTGTGTGTGTCTTCGCAGAGTCATTTGCCTGCCTCTCACTGGAGGGAGGGTCCCAGGCACAGGTCTGGGCCCTGGAAGGGGATTGGGGGGATGGGGCATGCCTCTTGCTGTCCCTCCTTCACTTTTCCTGCCAGAGACCCAGACTCTCTGCTCTGCTCGTCCCAGCTGACACCTCCTGCACCTCCGTCCCCCTGGACGTTCCTTTCCTGTGGAAGTGGAAACATGTACTTTTCCTCAATGGCACGAGTGTGAAGCAAACTGGAAGGCAGGTGTGGCACTCGGCCACCTGTGAGGCCTGGCGCTGAGCCCAGGGTGTGTCCTGTGCTGTGTTTGCATCCTGGCTGAGTGCTCTGCTGAGATGGGGTAACTGCACGGCTGAAGGGGAGTAGGATCGTGTCTCTCAAGGGAAGATGAAAGCTCAGTGTGACTCATGCTCACAGTGTGTCTGTCGAAGGTACAAGTTGGAAGGACAGAATGAGATGAGGCGTAGTGAAAACTAGACCCGTGCATTTAAGGAAAAAACGTAGAATGCCCACAACCTCATGTCGCATCTCTAAGGGCTGGAGACACAGCCTTCGCCCTCATTGAGGAGGTAGAGAGAGAATCAGGTGCTGCAGGGGGTGTGGCAGGAGGGGGAGAGAATGCAGCTGGGGGGTCCCTCAGTGTGTGGAGGCGTATAGCTGGTAGGGTCCCGCAAGTGCGGACCGGGTGGGGGGGTGCGCAGCACAAGTGTGGGTGTCAGGGGAGGGAGCGCGTCACCCAGTCACTAACAGTGTCTCCTCCAGTCCTCACAGTCCTTGAAAGACACTGCCTGCCCAGCCCGAATGCCCAGTGACGGGGGTTAACTCTGATGGGCTGTTTGAGGCCCATGAATAAAAGGATGTTTGGGTGCTTTGCTTCATAATAACTATTTTGTGTAAATACATCCTTCCTCTTCTTCCATTTGTCCTTTCTGCTTGGTTCTGTGTTGAGACCCTGTAAAGCTTTTATATCAAACTAGAGGCCTGATGCACGGCATTTGTGCACTGGGGTGGGGGGAGTACCTCAGCTCAGCCTGCACCCTCTTGCAGTCCAGGAGCCCTTGGGGGATGTCCAGCTGATGGCTTAGGCCACTCCCCGCAGGCCTAAACTGTCAGTCAGACATCCTTAGCGCTGCTGCCATGTGGGAGAGGCTCCTGCCACCACCTCTGGCTCTCCACCTGTGAGCCCGGCTTCTGGCTGAGCGGCTCTCCTCCTGTGGGAGCACACTGACCACCAGGGGGCAGCTCCTATGTTGAGCCTCTGCCCCCTGGTGGTCAGTGCGTGTTATAGTGACCAGTTGTCCCGCTGTTTGGTTGATTTGCATATTGCCCATTTATTACATAGGATATATAAGAGAAGAAATGCCTTTTCTGAAAGATGAGAATTTTTTAGAATTTTGAGAATTTCACTGACTGAATTCCACTGCACTTGACCTGAGGTGGGTGTGGCCACCAGGGTGTGCCCTGACTGAGGGGTGGCCGCACTTACCGGCCGACGTGGACACGAGGGTCAGCAGGCTGTGCACGGTCTCCATGAGGTCGTGCTGCTGCTTCTGCAGGGCCGAGTTGTTCACGGTGGCCGTCACCAGCTGCTTCTCGAGCTCCTCGATGATGGAGTTCTGCTTGGACACCAGCACCTGCAGCTGGTCCTTCTCCTCCTTCATGGACTGGAGCTGCACCGTGTGCTTGCCTTCCATGTCGAGCACTTTCTTCTCTAGAAAGCTTGGGAAGGGAAAGCGTGTCAGCTCGTGCAGGGTGTTCTGAGCGCCCCCAAGGCCCATGCCCTGCCTGTCTGGTCAGTCTCGCCCAGGGAGTCATGTCCTTGGAGTTCTGCTTCTCCACGGCACCGTTAAGATGTCAGAGGAGCCGGCCCACAGGGCTCAGCGGTTGAGCATCGCTGGAGGAACCAGCGGTCACAGTGCGATTCCCCTCAGGGCACATGCCTGGATTGCCGGCTTGATCCCCAGTAGGGGGCGTGTAGGAGGCAGCCCATCAGTGGTTCTCTCTCATCATTGATGTTTCGCTCTCTCTCCCTTCCTCTCTGAAATCAATGAGACTTTTTTAAAGACATCAGAGCAGTTGTCGGGTGATGCTGCTGCAGCCTGAAGGAGCTCTGGGCGCTCCGTGGGTGGACAGGCGGCCGTGCCGACCGTCTGAAGGGATTGAGGAGTACGGAAGGGCTGTGGCGGGTTATCCCAGGGCGTCAGTGGCAGGAAGGCTGGCAGCCATGGCCTCGCTGGACGGGAGTGTGGACCATGCAGAGGTGCCTGAGCTTCGGGAGCGCAGGTGGGCGGGGCAGTGGGAGTGGGCAGGGCAGTGGAAAGAGCAGGCTGAGCCTCTCCCTCCGCACGTGACCTTGCCTGTGACCTGGCAGGCCTTGCGCTCTCTGGCTCTCAGTGAACCCTGCCTCTCACAGAACATCACGTGCACAGTGACGTGAACGAAGACGCGAGGTATGTGGCCTGACTCGCTCTTCTTTTGGGGCAGTAACATCTCCATCTTTACCCCGGACGTTACTCAGCCATGGAACTGACCACCCAGTAAAGCCTCTCTAAGCGCTAGCATTCCGTACGAGCAGTTGTCATCAGACACCCGGTCTTACCTGGTAACTGCACCCCAGCCCTCGGCCCCTGGGAACCAGGACAGCAGCCCCTGTCTGCCTCGCCTGCAAGTAGCCCGTTTCTCCGCACAGTCATCACGTGCGCTTGGCTGATGCGCTTGGCTTACACCCTTTCCCACGTCCTTCTCAGTGGTCATTCCTTAACAGTTTCCTGACATCAGCCAAGTCATTGTCAGTTACGTCACCTTCCGTAAGTAAAACCAGGTGGCTCTCCACCACAGAAGTAACGAAGGTAAACGCGCCAAGCGTGGCTTTCTGCCTGGCGCCTCGGCCAGCGCCCGCTCAGGCTGAGCTGCGGAGCCTCTGCGGGCAGTTGGTCCCCGCCTCTGCTGCCTGCACAGCACGCGCCCTCCTTTGTCTTCACTGTTCCACGGGGAGCCGGGGGAGGGGGGCAGATGGGCGGTCACATGGCCCGGAGCGTGTGTGGATGTGGGGACACTCGGGCATGCGTTTTCTCTAGAAACTTGCTGATTCCTCCCGGAACTAGCACAGCCGCAGAGGCCGTCGCATCCTCATCTACAAGGCCCCCTCTCAAACGCAGAGCCACGCCAGGCTGGGTCCCCAGCGCTCCAGGTCCCCGGGCGAGTCCCAGTCAGAGCAGCGCTCCCGTGCAGGGCGGGGCCCGCGCTGGCTGAGACATCAGCTCCGTGAGCCGCACCGGCACTTCTAATGAGGGAGTCAAATACAGCGGCCCTCGGCACACGGGTCTGAGCTGGGTGCACGTGTGCGGGGCTTCTTTCAGTGCGTGCCTGTGATGTTTACATCTTATTTCTCACACTGGCTGAGCATCTGGGGAAGCAGAGGAAATGGGGGCAGGGAAGCTGTTCGTGAAGAGTGTGAAGGAATGGAGGAGCCTATAGCAAGACGAAGTAGGACGCACGCCTGCCCATCCGCTGTCCAGCTTTCACACGCAGACCACCCAGTCAGCGGCGGTTAAAGGGGTGCAGTCCTCTGCGTTTGAAAGCGCTCCAGCTGATGTGCGGGCCGTTCGTGAAGGGCCGAGCGGTGTCTGAGCTCGGGAGGCGGGTCCCACTTCTCGGGGACCGGTCACTGACGGGACAGATCTTTACACGGATGGTGCTGGGTGCCGTGCTTGGGGTGCGAGTACCGTGACACAGTAAATAAAACAGCGGGACAGGCCCCGCCTGGGCGTGTCAGCAGGCTGGCCCACGCGGCGCACATTCCCCCGGCGGCATCGGTGAGAGATGCCGGTCAGCCCCCACGTCCAGCAGGACTGCAGCAGGTGCAGCCCGTTCAGAGGCCTCGGCATGATGCGCCGAGCGACCCAGCTCAGTGATGGGTCTCCAACGTGCGTTTCCCACTTTGCAGAAGCAGAAGTTTGAAACATTTAAAAATACTTGGATTAAAAATGGACTTACTTGTTCAAATTATACATTGTTTGTGCTTTTCTTACCTGTTCTTATCCTGCAGCTTGTTTATTTCACTGGTCTGGTCCAGGATCTGCTTCTCCAGTTTGTTGGTGGACAGGGAATGTTCCAGAAGCTGGAGCTCCAGTCTCGTGGTCTGGTTCAGCACCTGTGGGCGACAGCAGACTCCGCTGGTCAGCGCTCACTGGTCACTGTGAACGGGGTCCAGTCCTAGAGCGTGCGTCACCCCGAGCTTACAGGCTCAGAGGCGTGGTTTCCCAGTTACGTCAGGGAGTGCTTTATGGGGCGAGTCTGCCCGTTCCGAACAGTGGTGTTTGTGTCAGATAACAGCGCTCGTTTCCCTGTCCTGCCGTGTTGGTGCTCTGAGAGGCGCTGGGTGTGAAACGCTCACCCCAGTGCCAGGAATTGTGACCTCGAAGGCCCTGCCTCCCTTGTCCGCAGCCACGCTGGGCGGACTTCCCTGCTCCTTCCACACACGGCCGTTTCCCCCGTCTCCTCTCGCTGGTGTCTCGTGGTTAGCGTCTTCTTCCTCTTCCGTTTCTTTTTCCAGCTCTGCACCTGGTGTCAGCCAGTCAGGACACAGCGGTAGGAGTGCGGAGCCCGCCACACGCACTGCCGTGGCCCGCCGCTCCACACCGAGGACACGGCTCCTGCGTTGCTGCCTCGCGGCAGGAAGATCCATTGTCACCCCGTGTGGCGTGGCCTTCAGGGTGCGCAGCCAGGTGGCAGTGTGGGCGGGATGGCTGCGCAGGAACCGGGCTCTGGACCGAGGGGACCACTGTTTGCTCGGGGCCCTGACATTCTAAAAGGCCGAGGCCAGGGCCGGCCGGCCCAGCCTGAGTCCAGCTGGAGGCGTGCAGACCGGGCCGCTCCCCAGTGGCCACGCAGGCACTGCCAGCCTGGACCAAACACTTCCCTCTGTGGCCCAAGCATTCTGTGGGCTCTTGCTAAGAGGGAGTGGAACTCTGAAGGCCCAGAGAGGGCCATGGGGGGGCAAGGGTGGCATTGCTTCGTCGCCTGCGGGCCTCCCGCTGCAGTGCCTGTCTGTCACTGAGCCAGGAGCCCAGGCCACACCGCCCCTCTGTCCCTGGTTGTGTCTCAGGCTCGAGGAGTCACACTCATAGGCTGGGACTCAGCCTGCCTCTCTTGGTCACTGCTGGTGACACCGTGCGCCGCGCAGCTGGCTCGGCCGCGTTCTCCTGTGTCTACTTGGACGTGGCTGCTTGCTCTCCAGCCGTCCCCGTGCTCCCAGCTGGGTCCTATTACCTGTGGCTTCAGGCAGATGTTCGGAAACGGTGGCCCCGAAATGGTGGCCCCTTCACAAAGGCTTATGAAGCGCCACTGGTCTGGCACAGGGTGTAGGAGGTGTGCGTCCTGGCTGCCTCTGCCACTCATTGCTGCCGCCTCTGGGCCGGCAGCGAGCCCGCACCCACCAGCCTTCCATCGGAAGCCGCAGCGTGGCTTCGTCACGACCCTTGATTGTAATAACAGACTGGGTATGCTGACAGTTTTCCGTTAAGTTTTACACGTTTTCATTCTTCCTTTTTCACCTCTGAGGATTACCCTTTTTGGTTCCTTGTGATCCGTCCTGTAGATGCTCCTGTTTTCCCTACACTGTCTGAGGTTGTGGGAAGAGGAGGTCAGCAGGTCACTCTTACCCATCCTCACGTGAGCTGGCGTGTGCTTCTCCCACCACTGTTTTCCTGGTCCCTGCCGTCCGCTGCCAGGGGGACAGATGGCCCAGCTCGGGGGGAAGACGAGTCTCCTCCCTCCTGGCTGGCCCCTGAGCTGAGGCGGCCACTCCCACTGGGATGTGCGTGGGATGTGCCTGCATTAGAGCTGCTGGTCTCTCCTGAGCATCACGGATCTTCAGAGCAGGAAGGTGCTCGCCCAGCAGCCCGGAGCGGAGCGGGCCTGGGGGACCCCATAAGTTCTTCCAGCAGCACTGCCCCCAAGCTCACCTGCTGTCCTGTGTGTGCCACTAGTGGCTCCATGAATTCTGTTTTACTGTTTGCAGTTATTCTTTTAATATTTTTGTGTTTTATGTTTTTTTCTGTTAACCATTAGCTCTTAAAGCTGAAGGGGACTTCGCAGTCATGCCTGTGGCCCTGCCTCATCCATAGCCACGCGGCTGAGGTCCAAGAGCGGGCCTCGCTCAGCTGCTCATCCAGCCACTCGGAGCCGGGCCATCAGAGAGCCTGGCTCCTGGCGGAGTGAGCCCCTGTGCCTGCTCCCTCCGTCCGTCTGTCCATCCTCCCTGATACCTCCGTCTGTCTGTCCATCTGTGCTCCCTGCTCCATCCGTCTCTCTCTGTGTCCTGCCTGCTCCCTTTGTCTGTCTGTCTCTCCGTCTCCCTGCTCCCCCGTCTGCCTCTCTGCCAAGTCAGACAGTGACTGTGTGGACTGGTAGGACAAACTGTGTGACTCGCACCAGGAATGGCAGTCTTCTGCACAAGCGGCAGGACAGTTCCCTGAGATGGAGGCTATGCCCTGAGGGCCGCTGGAGAGCAGCTCTGGCCTCTGCCCGGAGGAGGAGGCCTCGAGGGCCTGGGAGCACGAGAGGCAGACGCGTGTGCGGGACGGGAGCACGGTGTGGTCCTTGGTGGGACAGATGCCCTTCCCCTCAGCGCTAACTGTGAGGATGCGTGTCCTGATGCCACGTCCCTGTCCGGTCCTGAGTGCTTACCCGTCCTCCCTGCCTGCCCCCAGCCCACCTCCACCTGCCCTCGTGGCTGTCATGGTGCCCGCGTGACTCACCTGGGCCTCGACGTCCGTCAGCTTGCGTGTCTGCGCCGCCGTCTGGTTGAGGAGGCTGGAGCCGATCTCCATCATGGCGGCCGTCTGGTTGTGCGTGGCGCTCTGCTGCAGTGCAGCCGCGCCCCGGCGCATGCTGTCCTGGATGTAGCTCTCCAGCTGCGGGCAGGGCGGGCGTTAGTCAGGCGGGACCGCAGCCACTAGCTATGTGGCAAATACGGGGCACCGTGCCTGCATCGGAGGCCAGCCAGGTGTCCGCCCGCGTAGGCGGGGGAGCCAGGCCACACTCGGGTGCACACCCCAGGGCGCCCTGCCACACCCTCTGCCCGGCCGCTGGTCCCTGTGCTGAGGGGAATGGAAAGTTGCACAAGCACCCTGGGCAGCGGTGTTTGTGCCACGTTGTAGACCAGTTTCCCAGAATGCAGAGTTCAGAAGCCTCAGACGAAGCCGGGAAGCCGCCTTCGGCCTCGCCCAGATGGTCAGGACCCCTCACATTCTGAGCCCCCCTCTGTGCTCCCTGCTCCCTCTGTCCGTCTCAGAGCTAATTCATCACACGTCAGGCAGCTCAGGTTCCCCAGCCGGGACACGTCTCTCAGTTCCATGGCTTCACGCACCCGTTCCACCCCTACCCCAGTGCTCCTCGGCTCCCTGCCCGAGTCGTCTCCCTCCCTTGGCTGTGGGTTCTGTCCATGCAGGACAGCAGGCGGCAGGCCATGGGGTCGGGCATTGGTGCCTGCTCCCCACGCTGCAGCCTTTGATCAGGAGGTGGCTTACCTTCAGGCCCCAGGTCCTCATACACAAAGCAGTTTCTAATGGATCAGAGGTCTGTTTCAAGGACTAGTTGGTGTGGTAGTGAGACAGTTACGTGGTTTACAAAGACCCCGATGGCGGGTCTATGCCCACCGGCACCGTGCCTAGTTGTTCTCGCGTCATTGGCAGTTCCCTGTGCTGCACTTCATCCCCACGACGTCCGTCACCCCAGTCTGTGCTGCTCAATCCCTCACCTTTCCGCTCAGCGCCCCCTGCCCCCTGCCCACGCGTGTGTGTGTCTCCCCCCACCCCACCCCCCCGCCATCAGTCTGCTCTATGTCTCTGAGTCTGTTTCTGTTTTGTCTGTTTATTTTACTCTTTAGATTCCACCTCTGAGCGAAGCCATCTGGCATTTGTCTGTCTGACTTATCTCCCTCAGCCACACCCTCTAGGTCCACCCAGGCTGTGAAGGGTAAGATTCTGTCCTCTTTACGGCGGGTCAAGGTTCGGTGTGTGGGTGCCACAGCCTGGCATCCCTCCTGTGCCCTGGGTACCAGGCTGCTTCCTCAGAGCTGAGCTGAGTGTGGAAGCCAGTGTGCGCATCACTCGGGCCTTGAAGGTCCGTTTGCTTTCTTCCTGTGTTCTGTAATGACCAGTGATGGCCACAGTCCACTCAGGAGGACAGAAGCCCTGTTTCTGTCTTTTCCTATTAAGTTGAATGAATAAAATTTGATCACAAAACTGCTTATCATTGCCTTTCTCTAAAACCACCGAGAGCCCTGACCGGTGTGGCTCAGTGGGTAGGCCTGCAGACTGAAGGGTGCTGGGTTCGATTCGGTTAAGGGCATGTACCTTGGTTGTGGGCACATCCCCAATAGGGGGTGTGCAGGAGGCAGTTGATCGGTGTTTCTCTCTCATCGATGTTTCTAACTCTCTATCCCTCTTCCTCTCTGTAAAAAATAATAAAATATATTTTTAAAAAATAAAAATAAAACCACTAGGCAGTCCCAGGCCAGGGGTCCTACTCCTGGTGCCTGTCTGTCCCTCCGTGTGCCTGCCTGAGGGTGCAGGTAGGCAGGCGGGAGCTCCTGGAGGGAGTTGTAAACTGTGACTCAGGTGGTGTTAGGAGGCCTTAGGATGCTCCTTGGAGCTGTGCCTCCTGGCTCCCTTGCCTGCCTTGCTATGCACGGTCCCCATTCCTGGAGCTATGCATGTACACGCACACGCACACACACGCATACACGTCTGGATGCTTCCCGGGCGCCCCTGACTCTCTCTCGGCCGCTGGGCAGGGTGTGAACCTGACCGACGCAGGGCGCTGACTATTTGTAGAACACGTCTCGGCCTTGGCCTCTCGTGTGAGTGAAATGGACTGTACCGCCGTGAACACATGAGGCTCTCTTCCCGGGCAGCCCCAGCAAACACCTCACAGGGCCTCCCCGAAGCCCCAGAGCAGCCTGTCACCTGATGACCGGCCGGCTTCGTGGCGTGCTCTCTCTCAATGCATCCTGCTTCCCCTCCTAACAGGCCTCCCTGTTTAATACCCAACTTAAGAGAACTTCGCATAGAAGCTTCCGTTCCCCTCCCGCCCACTCTCACTCTTCGCTCATCACCAGGGGAATAGTGGAATTTTTTAGGGCAGAGTTAAAGCTATATAAGTCATCCAGAGAAGTTATCTTGGTTACTGTTAACACCAGCAAAAATAATATTTAGAAAGACTTATCCTGGGAAGTTTGGAGCTCGGGAAGGCATACTTGGCTGGAGTTTGGGTTATGTCTGTGCTCCGAGTGATGGTCTACAAGCTAGGGCAGATAAAGGGCGCCATCTTACTGACCCCATCCTTACGAGCGAGATAAGAGCTGTTCTGTCCCTGTCCCTCTGGTGTGTGGTCAGAGGGAACGGAGCTCGTAGCCCTCCCCCAACCCCATTCTGCAGCTACGGGGTCTAAACTAAATGTTAGACTCGGGAGCTTTGAAAGACATAGACCTAATTTAAAAAATGGAAGTTCTTAGCATTATTGCCATCATTTTGTCCAAGCTTGAAAATGATAGATGCAAAATTCTTTCTAAGCCAACTGCTTTTCACCTTTTCAGGATGACAAAGCATGTGTATAGCATGTGTGTGCATGCGGGGTTCCTCTCATGTTCAAGCAAATTACAGGTGTGTGTGTACATATGATGTGTGTGTACGTCTGATGTGTGAGTGGGTGTTGTATACGTGTATAGTCTCTATATACAGTGTATGCAGCAAAAGGAAGTGGAATTGGCTCTGCACTGGCCCAGCTGCTAACCAGATACAGAAATGTCAGGTGTTAGACATTGTGTTCTCGCACTTGACGCTGTGAGAGGAATGGAGGTCTTAGGAGACGGGTGGTGTGAGTGGAGGGTGCTCCACGAAGGAAGAGGTAGGTATTTGATGTCAGAAGCAGTAACAGCCACGGTGACCATGGTTACTCCCCGTGTTTTTGCCACCAGGACTCCGGGTGCTGATATGTGAGGCGCTGTGTGAGGGCTCGGGTGCCTGGCATCGTGGGCAGGCACTCAGGGCTGGCATGTCAGCGAACTAGCGCTTCACCCACCAGCCACCCACACTTTTCCTGCCTTTCAGCAACCTTCCAAGGTGGCCTGACCCCCAGCTGGCATGAGTGCCTTCCCAGCGCCCAGGTTGCAGCCTTGAAAAGCAGAGACCACCTCCCTGCGTCAGAGGGCGGGCGTTTTCACCAGCAGACACGCCTGGAATCCACGGCTGGTGCCTGTCCCCTGGGAGCTTCATGGCAAGGCAGCCGTTTCCCTCCCAGGACGAGCAGTAATTTTTCAGGGGGACTCCCTCCGAGGCCATTATGGGTGTGGAGATGACCCCGTGGTGGCCCCACCTCCCTGGGAAGCGGCCTGGCCCCGTTTGCTGGTTGCTCCTGTGGGAGGGCACCTGGTCACCTCCCCGCCCTGGGCTGGGACCAGTGCGTCCTCCAGTTTATGGCCCAGGCGTCTTTCTGTGTCGCATCTGTTTTTTACTGTCTGCAGCGGAGCCCACAGCACAGGGCCTGGCCAGCGAAACCCCTGCTGGCGCGGGAGTCCTGACACGGGACGAGAGGAGGCCCAGGAGACCCCCCTCCCCGCAGAGCGTGCCCCCCGCCCCGCCTTTCCACTCGCTGCTCTCCTCAGGACCGCCGAGCACCGCATCCTCCCCTCGGCTCCTTCCCGCGCCCCTGCGCTGTGGGAATGGCGGACCCTGTGTCTGAGGGTGGCGAGGCCCCCACAGACTGTCCCCTTGGAATGCGTGCTGTGACCCTTCCCCAGAGCACGGCGAGCGGCCGAATGCCACTGGCGCTCCGCGGTGCTTGTCCTTTTGGCCTTGCAGATGCTCGCTGAGAAAAGGCAGTCACACCTCAGTCTTTGCAGGTTCGCGATGGGTGGACGCTCTAGGGACCAGAATCAACGCCCAACACTGATGTCTGTTCTAAGACGTGAAATCTGTCCTGACGCCCCCCACCCCCGCCATGTTGGCAGTGATCAAACTTGACAGGAAAATAAGTCCATTTGCGAGGCAACTGGCAAGTTGATCGCACACTGAAGTAGTTCCCTCCCTATCTCCTCACCGATCATTGTCTGCCCCTCACAGGCGGCTGCAGGCCGGGGCGGGGCCGGGGCCGGGCCGGGCAGCGGACGCCCTGAGGCCCTGTGTGTGCACCTTCTGCGAGAACGGGGAGACCCGCCTGCAGCTGCAGATGCCACGTGTGTATCCGTCTCAGGCTCTCACGCGGCCTTCACATCAGTTTCCCCTCTGGGTCAGGGCAGCCCTGGGCACCGCCCCCACACTCCAGGGTTCCCACCAAGCTGCCAGGCGCTGGGGTCGGCAGCATTGCTTGCAGGAGCAGCTGCCCACACCTGCTGCCGGAGCCGCTGGGCCTGTCCATGCGGAGTGGCCAGGGGTAAGGGAGGGGGAGAAAGGATGCGCGTCCCCTCCCCCCGCAGAGGTCCTGAGGCAGAGCAGGGGTTCTCCCGGCCTCCCTGTGCCTCCCACGGGCCTGGGCCTTGGGCCAGACAGCCCCTCAGTGTGGGGTCTGTGGGTAAAGTTGCCCTCGGCAGTCTGGTGCCCTGGCTAACCGCTCTGACGGGCTGGAGGAAGGCCAGGCAGAGGTGCCCGTGAGGAGGGCAGTGCGTGAGGAGGGCAGCGTGAGCCCAACAGCCGCTGGCCAAAGCACAGAGCCTCACGCCACTCTCAGCGGCCTCTTGCGTGGGATCTATCCACCTTGACCATCGTCTGCTTCCTGTGTCTTCTCGCGTGGAGATTCGGGTAAACGGGATCTAAGACTGCTCCCTCCAGCAAGTGACAGGATCATCAGCTAGTTCAAATGGGGCGGCTGGGGTGCAGCTCTGGGAAGAGGAGGGTGAACTCATTCTTTTTACTTA